CTCAGCCGCAAGCACTCTTAATAGCTAAAACATCTCTCTAGTGCCTACCCCTTTAAAAAAATATTTTTATTCTCTGAGAACTTTATATAATGTATTTTGATCATAGTCCCCCCGTCCCAACTCCTCCCAAATCCAGCCCCAACGCACATCTACCCAATTTCCCAGTTTTTTGTTTTTCGCCATCCCCTTTTTAAGCCAGAAAAGGTCAGTGTAATTTTAATTAATACAAAGTAAGGTAATTCAGCCTGGTATGGTATGTACCTTTATTCTAGCACCCGGAGGTAGTGGCAGGGGATTGCTTTGAGCAGCCTTTTCTACAAAGTAAGTTCCAGGCCAGCTGGGGCTACAGGGAAACCCTGTCTCAAAAAAAACCAAAAAAAAAAAAAAAAAAAAAAAGCACCAGAAAAACTCCAATACCTATTAATCATCTTTGATTCAGTTACCAAAATGCAGAATATGAAACAAAACATATTTAACAGAAAATATGAAAGCAAACACATTGGTGTTCCTGCAACCAACATTTCTGCTGAAAATAACTACTTGGTATTTCAAACAGCAGTAAGTACTATAACTGATGTTGTGGCACTATTTCAAACTTTGATAGTGTTTCTAGATAAAATTTTAGATCTATTTCTGTATCTCAGAAATTTACTCTATACAGAAATACTGTTTTGGCTCTATTTTTAATATTTGCCCACCTAGGCAAATGTATATGCAGTACAATTCTGATTTCAGTAGAAATGAGGGCAGGGAGAAAGACCTATAATTTTTAAAAATTTAAGACTACTTCTTAAAAACAATGTATTTGTTGACATTTCAAAGCAAAATATTAAAAAAATCAGCAAGCCATTTCCCTACATGACAGGAATGTATTTCCTATGATTTTATCCCATTATTTAATTGTGTTTTAAAAAGATCTTAATCCTCTTCTGGTTTTATTTTCTCATTCAAGGAGTGCTAAGATTTTTCTTTTTCTACTGAATTATATAAGCTAACAAAGTATAGTCTCTCAATAATGAAATAAAACCCTAGCAAGCCACTATAATATTCCTCGTAAGATGAAAAACATGACCACAACTGGTCACAAACAGACACTCTATGAATTGCCCAGGCCTAAGTGACACATCTACAACGCAACCTCTATACCTAACGCACATGGAACATAGAAAAGGGGTAATGAAGACAACACTAATGAATCTCTCAATTTTCATTAATGAAGATACCTCATGCAACAGAGGGCTAAAACAGAGATTAAGAGTCTGTAGATTGATGGTCCTTGGACAGGACTCCTATTTATTAAACTTTACCCACCTAGGGCTCAGGGACCATCGTGGACGAGAGGAAGGAAAGACTGTAAGAGCCAGGGAGGAGGTATATGACCATATGGAAATAGAGCCCTACAATTTCTTGGGACCCTGCTCATATGGCAATGGTGTCAACATACAAGAGTCCTATGCAAACTAAGACAGACTAAAACCCAGCATAGAACTGCGGAAATAAACAGCAGACTCCAATCTTAGCTGAAGAAACATTGGCAACTGATTACTGCTAGGTGAGGAAGAGCTGATCTTCCTAAAACAAGGGACTCTAGAAAGGCTGACTAGACCTCAATGGATGGACTTGTACCGGGGTCCATTTGGGGACAGTGACTTGACACATTGGGCCTTAATGACAGAGTACATGGGTTCCAGTACAGGGGCTATGGGAGGGTGCCGGTGGGGATGGGAGTATAGAGATGATTGTTTGAGATATTTTGTATAAAATACACAAAAAAATTCAATAAAAAAAGTTACAAAAAGAATTAAAAGGCAGCTCTGTTCCAAAATCTGTCATAGTAATTTACATTACATGATGTCTTATGGATGAGACTGGTGTCTAAACACAAAATTCATTCTGCTGTAAATGCTCCTTTTACACAAAGCCATCAAGGTAATTTAATATTTTTAGTATGGCTATATTTTGACTGAATTATGTCAGGTGTAGAATTTTCACTTACGGCTTCAAACAAGTGATTAAAACATTTACATTTGAGAGCATTTCAGATTAGGACATTGTGTATGCATGTCTGTGTGTGAGTAAAAGCACAATGGAGCTGGAGTCACAGGGCAGCTTGATGGCTAGTATGGACTCTGAAACCAAACTCAGGACCTCTACAAGAGCAATATGCATTTTTAACTTCTGAGCCATCTCTCCAGCACCCCTTCCTTCTAAGATTTTCTTTTTATTTATGTATGTGTGTATATGTGCATGTGTGCCCTTGGAGGCCAGAAGAGAGCAATGGATTCTGTGAAACTGGAGCTATAGGTGGTGGCTGTGAGCTGTCCTATGTGGGTGGGTGCTGGTAACCAAACTTGGGTCCTTTGTAAGAATAGCAAGCACGATTAAATACTGAGCTATCTCTCCAGTCCTGAGGTCCTACAACTTATATTTTGATAAAGTCATTGAAAACTTCTGTGTGGGCCAGCAAGATGGGAAAAGGTGCTTGCTCTCAAACCTGAAGGCCTGAGTTCAATCCCTAGGCCCTACATCATGGAAGGAGAGAGAATTATCTCTTGCAGGTTCTCCTCTGGCCTCTACAGTGCACACCCACACACCTCCCCTAATACATAAATAAATGTAGTAATAAAAAAATTGAAAAAATAAAAATAAAAATCTGAGCCCGGCATGGTGGTGCATGCCTTTAATCCCAGCAGAGGCAGGTGGATCTCTGTGAGTTCAAAATCAACCTGGTCTACATAGTGAGTTCAGGCCAGCTGGGGCTATAGGGAGACCATGTCTCAAAAAAAACACCAAAAATAAGTTCACGGCCTTGTCTGGGGTACAGATCAAGTTAAAGACCAGCCTGGGCAACTAAGCAAAATCTTGTCTGTGATTAGTTTTAATTGTCAATCTCACACAATCTAGAATTAAGGAGGTATATAGTTCAAGGGTAGAGTGTTTATCTAGTATATGTAAGATTCTAGGTTAAATTTCCAGTATGGGGAGAGAAATGGGATTCTGTGCTTAGAAAATACTAAATGAGGGGCTGGACAGATGGCTCACTGGTTAAAAACACTGGCTGTTCTTGCAGAAGACCCGGGTTCGAATCCCAGCACCCACATGGCAGCTAACAACTGTCCATTAACTCCAGTTCCAGGGGATCCAACAGCCTCTTCTGTCCTCAGGGGGCACTGCACCACACAGGTGCACTTACCTACATGCAAGCAATACATGCATACACATAAAATAAAAATATAATAAATGAATGATATATCTTATTTTCTTACCACTCTAGAAGTTAACCTAAATTTAGAGGTAATTAAACATCATGGGGGCTAGAGAGCACTGGCTGCTCTTGAAGAGAACCTGGGTCTGGTTCCCAGCACCCAAATGGCAGCTAACAACATCCCTAACTCCAGTTCCAGGGAATCTGATGCCCTCTTCTAACATCCACTGGCATTGTATGACAGGGGTGCACTTACATACATGTAGATAATACACTCATAAACACAAGATAAAAAAAACTAAAAAAAAAAATTTTTTTTGAGTGGGGGGGGTCTTTTTGAGACAGGGTCTCTCTGTAGCCCCAGCTGGCCTGGAACTCACTTTGTAGATCAGGCTGGCTTTGAACTCACAGAGATCCACCTGCCTCTGCCTCCCGAGTGCTGGGATTAAAGACGTGCACCACCACGCACAACTCAAAAAATAATAAAAAATTTAAAAAAAAAATCATTAAGATACTATCCCCCAGTAGTGTTCTCAATGTTATCTAATTTTAGAGCTTCTAAACCTATAAATGTCTACTCTGGAAGAGGACTAGGAGAGTCATGGCAATATCTTCTTTAGACATTAACTCAGAAAAAGATATCCTTGCAGCAGGACAAAATATTGAACTGTCTACAGCTTTTACAGTCATGGCAATATCTTCTTTAGACATTAACTCAGAAAAAGATATCCTTGCAGCAGGACAAAATATTGAACTGTCTGCAGCTTTTACAGGTTCAGCTACTTGTCACTAAATGGCCACATATTGCTAGGTGCTGGGAATATGTAAATTTGATGTGACAGATTTTCAAAATATTGTCATAAGTTATATAACAGTGGCGACACAGGGTAGGGTCTGTGAAAACAGAAAAGAAAGTCATTTATCAGAGCCAGTAAAGGAGGATGGTTATCACTTTCAATTCAAAAAAATAGGTATTGTGGTGGCTCAAGCCTATAATCTCAGCACTTGGGAGGCCTACAGAGTGAGACACTATCTCAAAATAAGAAAAATTAAAAAAAAAAAAAAAAAAGAAAAAGAAAAGAAAAGAAAACAGAAAATACTGTCTGTAAGTTCAATGTGAGACCATGCCTCTATGTGACTTCGGCCAGTTGAGGTTTTGGCTGACCTACCTTATAGAAAACAGCTTGGTAATATGAGGTCTTATAAACTCCCTCTTGCCAAAAGAAAAATATAAAAATAAAAAACCCTTTTGTAAACAGTTTTAACCACCAGCAGTTTATAAAGAATGAAGTCATCAGAATGTACTTTTATAGTAAACAAATTTATTTTCATTTACGATAGTCTTGACTATCCAACTCTGAAAAAACAAAAAAACAGAAAACGACACGGGGATGTAGCAAGAGTATGGGATGTTTAAAGCTTTATAATCATAAATTTTACAATCATAGTGACATGGCTTTCCTGTGTATAATATGAACAATTTGGTCAAAACTTTCTCTTTTTCTAAAAATTATGCCACAGTTTTCTCACTTTGAAATACATTTCTAGTTCATGAGGCCAGTTGTTGTTAACTGGAAGAAACTCTTACATTAGAGAATAGCTTGCTCACAATTATCTCATATTCTCTCTCTCTCTCTCTCTCTCTCTCTCTCTCGTCTTTTTGAGACCTGGAACTCACAGAGATCCACCTGCCTCTGCCTCCAGAGTGCTGGGAATAAAGTCGTGCACCACCATGCCTGGCTATTTCATGTTTTCTTAATTTACTGTCATCAACTCATAATCAAAGAACACTTACCTGCTTTACATTGTATCCTGCTTTTGCACTGGTTTCAATAAACATAACATTCAGCTCTTTGGCTTTCCTCTCTCCCTCCTCAATTGATACTTGCCTGTTGAAAAATTTTAAAAAGACAAATTCTTATTTTTCAAGATGGGACTGTAAAGACTGTAAACAAAATTCTACGGGCACTGCTTACATAAATAGCATTAGCTTCAAACTTCAACAGTCTGCAGCACTCAAGAGCAGTATACATCTTGTGTGAATGTTACGCTTAATCCCCTCCCTCCCCACCCCCTGCCATACTAGGGATTGAACCTAGAGCCTTACACATGCTACCAATGAGCATACCCACATTCACCCCCCAACATACATCTTAATGAAAAAATTTATAATTTATTTTTCCTCTTTGTATATATAAGTGTTTTGCCTACACATACGTTCAGTGCACTACATGCATACAATGCCCTTGGTGGCCAGAAGAGGGCACTGATTTCATGGAACTGGAGCTATGGACAGTTGTTAGCCACCATGTGGATGTTGGGAACAAAATCTGAGTCCTCTCCAAGAGCAGGAAGTGTTTTTAACTGCTGAGTCATCTCTCCAGCGCCATGAAATTAAAAATAAAATATTTTATTATATTATATTTTAGTTTTAATTTTATGTGTATGAATATATTGCCTGCATGTATGTAAGTGCACCCATGTGCAATGCACATGGAGGTCAGAAGAGGATGTTGAATCCCCTGGAACTGGAGTTACAGATGGCTGTTAGCTGCTGTATGGGTGTTGGGAATCTAAGCCAGGTCCTCTGCAAAAGCAGTCAGTGCTCTTAACCACTGAGCCATCTCTCCAGTACCCCATACCTGGCTTTTTATGTGGGTGCTGGGGATCTGAATTCAGGTCCTTAACAGCAACCATTCTTATCCATCAAGCCATTTTCCTAGCCCTACAAAATCTTTTACAGGTATATTTTACTAATTTGCCTTTAGTTGGCTGACCTCATTGTCTGTTTCTGTTTTGAGACAGGGTCTCTCATATATCCCAGCCTGGCCTACAACTTGCTAGCCCAACTTCTGATTCTCCTGCTTCTACCTCTCAAATGCTGGGATTACAGGCAAGAACTACCATATCTGGTTTTAAGCAGTGTTGGGGATCAAACCCAGAGTCTTATGCATACTAGGCAAGCACTGTTATCAACAAAGTACATTCCTACCCTCGATCTATTTACTAAAAAAGTAAAAATAAAAATGACCTCTTTTTACATCTATTGTTATTTATACACACACACACACACATATATATACATATATACTCATATCTATATGGATATATGGGGGGGCATACTTGTGTCATGGCATACAGGTGGGGGAATCAGAGGACAATTTGTGCAAGTTGGTTTTCTCTTTCCATCATGTGGATCCTGGGGATCTAAGTCAGATCATGAGGTGCTTAGAGATAAGCACCTTTACCCACTGAGCTATCTCACAAGTCCTTCTAATTTAAAGAAGTTTGTGAGTGGGCTGGATGTTGTGGCTTATACCTATAATCCCAACAGCAGGAATGAGGCAGGGATATCTTAAATTCAAAGCCAGCCTGGGCTTATGAGACCTGGTCACAAACAAACCAACGAAAACAATCAAAATCTTAGGGGCTGGGGTATGGTTCAGTAGCAGATTATGTCTAACACACGCACTGTCCTAGGGCCATTGTGGCATTAAGAAACAGAAACAAAAGCCACCCACAAAACCAAACCTGAACAGCCTGCTTTTCCTCCCTTAATATTAAATCATAAAGGAGGCCAGAGAGATGGTTCAGTGGTTAAGAGCCCAGCACCCATGTGGCAGCTCACAACCACCTATGATTCACTCTACATTTAACATCTTTTGGCCTCCAAAAGATCTGCACAGAAAAACAGGTGTGCTGGCACACACGCACATACACAAATAAAACGTAAGTGTTTAGACTTGTGATTCTAAACTTTTTGGAAGAAGTATCTTTATGTCAATTTGTTCCTATAATTTATGTAACTTCATTAATTGTTAGAAATATAAATTGCTTTAAAATCTTATTCTCCTGTGAAATATATCTGATGCTGGGCGTGGTGGCACACGCCATTAATCCCAGGACTTGGGAGGCAGAGACAGGCGGATCTTGTGAGTTCAAGGCCAGCCTGGTCTACATAGTGAGTTCCAGGACAGCCAGGGCTACAGGTAGACCCTGTCTCAAAAAGACGGGGAAAAAAAAAAAAATCACTGTCTGGGTTCAAGTTCATCTTTTATTGCTTAGATGACTGCCTTGTTAGCCTCCTCACTGATCTCACATCTATCATTTCTCCTTTATTTTCAACAGAGCTAACAGTAATCCACTGAAAATTACTCCTCTAGGAATGGCGAGATGGTTCAGTGGGTGAAGGTGCTTGCCACCAAGACAACCTGAGTTTGATCCTTGGGACCCACATGGTAGACTCTCACACACTGTCCTCTTGACCTCCACATAAGGCCCTGGTACCCACCAACCCATAAAAAATAATAAAAGCCTTTTAGGGGAGGTGGATTACTCATCTACTCAAATCCTCTAATCTCATGCCTACAATATGCAAATGCACCCATAGTGCAATGCCTGGGGAGGACAGAAGGGGTCAGATCCCCTGGAACTGGAGTTACAGATGGCTGTTAGCCAATATGGGGATGCGGGGAACTGAATCTGGGTCCTCTGCAAGAGCAGTCAGTGCTCTTAATCAGCAAACCATCTCTCCAGCCCCATAAATAACTTTTTTTTTGCTTTATTTTCATTTTATGTGTATGTGTACATTGTGTGCACGTATGCAAGTTGCAACCATGTTGTGTAATTCTAGCGGGGAACAGAAGAGGGCGTCAGATCCCCTGGAACTGGAGTTACAGTTGTTAGCTGCCATGTGGGTGCTGGGATTCAAACCCAAGTCTGCTGTAAGAACAGTCAGTGCTCTTAACCGCTAAGAAGCCATCTCTCCAGTCCTCCATTTTATTTTTTTTAACCTTGTTGGCTACTATTCTTTCCATTATTATTATTATATTTTTTTTAAAGATAGGAAGGAGTTCATGTAGCCCAAGGTATCCTCAAACTCACTGAGGTCACAGGCATGTGCCACCAACCCCAATTTACGTGGTACTGGGGATTGACCCAGAGCTTTGTGCTCTCTAGGCAAGCCCTCTATCAACTAAACTACATCTCAGCACCATTATCATTTTTAAAAATTCAGATTATCTACCTCCTTACTGTTTCCTAAGTGGATTCCCACAGCAAGGATTTTTTTTCATTTTTGCCTAGAATTTGTTTGCTGAAGTTACAGTTAATTCGTCCCACTACATTGTTGACTCCTTTACATTTTCACTCAAAAAGATGAGTAGCTGGGTAGGTCCGTGTAAAGGTCAAAGAAGTGAGTACCTAAATTTGTCCTCTGACCTCTATACGCGTGCATGCGCGCACACACGCACGCACGCACGCACACATACACACACAACAATAAAAAAAAAAAAACCACTTTAAAGTCATCAGTCACTTTTTTTTTGGTCTGAGACAGGGTCTCCCTGTAGCCCCAGCTGGCCTGGAGCTCACTATGTAGACCAGGCTGGCCTTGAACTCACAGAGATCCACCTGCCTCTGCCTCCCAAGTGCTGGGACTACAGGTGTGCACCACCACGCCCAGCTGAATTTTAAATTTTTTTACATGTATTTATTTGGGGGGGGGGCAGGCACATCTCATGGTGCACACACAGAGGTCAGAGGACAACTTGTGGAAATCGGTTCTCTCCTTTCATTATGTAGGTTACTCGGGCTGGGCAGAAAATGCCTTTAACCCACTGATCCATCTTGTGGCCCCAGTCCCTTGTTTTTTAAGGATGAGGCCTGGCTATGATACTTAGGCCAGTCCTAAACTCATCACCCTCCTGCTTTGGCTTCTCAAACAGCTGGAATTATAGGAATGTGCTACTGTTCCCAGCTTAATGACTTACTGTCTAGGTCACTCTCTAGGATAAATGCTTCTTTTTTTGAGGGGGGTCTTTTTTGAGATAGGGTCTCCCAGTAGCCCCAGCTGTCCTGGAACTCACTATGTAGACCAGGCTGGCCTTGAACTCACAGAGATCCACCTGCCTCTGCCTCCCAAGTGCTGGGATTAAAGGCGTGCCCCATCACACCCAGCCTGATAAATGCTTCTTGAAGAAGTCTCACCCCCACCCCATGTTTAATAAAGAAGGAAGAAGGTGGCAAGGATACTAACAAGAACTTCCTGTTAAGACTAAACTATCTTTAAAATACATTGAGTCTCATGTAGGCCAGGTTGGCCTCAAGCTCACTATGTAGCCAGGACCGACTTTGAACTGCTGATCTTCCTGTCTGAACTTACCAAGTACAAGGATTATAGGTATGTGCCACTATGCCCAGCCAAGAGCTGTCTTTTTTATGAACTACTTTATGGAATAATAGCAGCATCTGAGTAGTACTTAACTAAATACCTTAAAATTTATTTAGTTATTATTATTGTATATATAAGGCATGTGTGGGCATGCCCATGCTACAGTGTATATCTGGAAGTCAGAGGACAACTCTGTGAAACTGGTTTTCTCCTTTTACCTTTATATGGCTTTGGAGGACCAAACCCAAGGCACCAGGATTGTACAAGTTCTTTATGTGCTGAACCAGCTTGCTATTCCAATAAATACTTCTCTAATTTTAAGTGGAAGAGTGTTCTACATCCATGTATGTATGTGTACCACACACATGCCTGGTGCCCAAGAGGCCAGAAGAGGGCATAAGATCCATTGGAACTGAGTTACAGGAGGGTATTAAGCTACCATGTGAGTGCTAGGGACCAAATTTGAATCCTCTGTAAGAGCAGCTTATGTCTCTGAGCCATCTCTCCAGCCTTCTTTCCTGGTTTTAAAATCCTGAGTATATTCACTAGGGTAATTCTAAGTTCTCCCAATAAAATTTTTTTTTCTGTGTATGAGTGTATTGCCTGCATGTGTGTAAGTGTACCCATGTCGTGCAATGCTCACAAAGGTCAAAAGAAGGTGAGGAATCCCTTGGAACTGGAGTTACAGACAGTTGTTAGCCATCCTATGGGTACTGGGAATCAAACCCCGGTCCTCTGGAAGAGCAGCCAGTGCTCTTAACTGCTAACTCATCTCTCCAGCCACCATTATACTTTAAGATTAGGTATAGTAGTAGTCCAACTGTAGTTTCGCTGCATCAGAATCATGTAGAAAAATTCTTCTTTTTTGAGACAGGATCTTTCTATACTGCTCTAGCTGGTTTGAAACTTGTACAATAGGCTAGTCTAGCTTTATGACTATTAGACCAGGCTGGCCTCGAATTCACAAAGATCCGCCTGCCTCTGCTTCCCAAGTGCGGTGATTAAAGGCGTGCACCACCATGCCCGGCTAGTGTTGTTTTAATTTTATTGTTTTTATTTTATGTTTATGAGTGTATTGTTTGCATGTATGAAAGTGCACTCATACCATGTAATGCCCATGGAGGTCAGAAGAGGGTGTCAGATCCCCCTGGAAAAGCAGCCAGTGCTCTTAATTGCCGAGTCATCTTTCTTGCCTTTGTTATTTGTTTTTTGAGGCAAGATCTTGCTATATAGCCTTTGTTAGCCTGGAACTCCCTATATAGATCAGTCTGACCTCAAATTTCTGGTTGATCCTCCTGCTTTTGCTTGCAAAGTGCTTGGTGTACAGGCATGTGCCACCATATATGGCTAGCAAGATTCTTTTGTAAAATATTTTATTAATTGCTGGGCATGGTGGTGCACGCCTTTAATCCCAGCACTTGGGAGGCAGAGGCAGGAGGATCTCTGAGTTCAAGGCCAGCCTGGTCTACATAGTGAGTTCCAGGAAAGCTGGGGATACAGGGAAACCCTATCTCAAAAAGACCAAAAAAAAAAAAAAATTATTTTTTTCTGTATGAATGTATTGACTGCATGTGTATAAGTTTGTATACCCATGTTGTGCAGTGCCTGTGGAGGACATTGGATACCCCTAGAACTAGAGTTATAGACTATTGTTAGCTGACATGTGGGTGCTGATAATTTACCTAGTGTTAACTGCTGAGCCACCTCTCAAGCCCCAAGCAAGACTATTTACAACATGTATTTAAGGACCCCATTATATCTAGAAGTAGGCCCAAAATTTTTAAAAATTAACTAGAGGATACAACTCAGTTGTAGACTACTTGCTTGGCAATCACAAGGCCTTGGGAATCAATCTCTAGCAAAAAAAAATAAAATACACACACACCAAATAAAATAAAGCCATAATCCTTTACAACAGCTAGCTTTATAAATGTATTTAATAAGCTATGTTTACCAAGTGACTATTGGAAATGTCTGGGATCACTACATGTAGGGGACAACTAGGCAACTAGGAGTCCTATAGAGACACTGAAACAAATTCTAGACTTCCTTCAAGTCTTAAAAATTCTTGATGGCAGACATAATCCCTTAAAAAAAAAATCAGCCATGCCCAATGGCACACACCTTTAGTCTCATGAGTTCATAGGCACAGGCAGGTGAATCTCTATGAGTTCAAGGCCAACCTGGTCTACACAGGGAGTTCCAGCTAGAGCTATAGGGAGACCCTGATTCAAAAAGTCCAGCGTGGGGGAAGAATCAATGAATAATAAAATCCTCCAAAATCAGACTCCTTTCCTGAATCTAACTCTGGTTAAGCTTCACGCTTGTTTTTTTTTTTTTAATCTATGTTGGTTAGTTTTTATTGTCAACTTGACATAACTTTAAGGGTCCCAAGGGACCCTCAACTGAAGAACTGCTTTGATCAGAACGGCCTGTGACCATGTCTGTAAGAGAGTGAGGATTGATGTGGGAGGGCCCTGCCCACTGTGGGCAGCACCATCCCTAGGCAGGAGGGTCTAGGCTGTATAAGAAAGCTAATTGAGCATGAGCCAGAAAGCAGTATTCCTCCATGGTTCCTATTACAGGTTCCTGTCTTCACTTTCTTCAATTATGGGTTGTGACTGTGAAGTATAAAATGAAGATGAAATAAACTTGTTCTTCTCCAAGTTGCATTCGGTCGTGGTGTTTATCACAGCAACAGAAAGCAAACTAATACAGTATCTTAGGCTGTCCTGGAACTCATAATCCTCCTGCCTCAGCCTCTGAAGTGCTATATTACAGGCACATGCTGCCAACACTAGCTTCTACCATCTTTTCTTTAATAGAAAAAAAAGATATAATACACACACACACACAAACCAACTAAACTTCATGTGTTAAGACATACTCCTCTCATTTTTTCCAATGGATATAAAGTATTTTTGCTTATAAAGTAGCATCTAACTTCTTATATTTTAAAAATTTAGTACTAAAGTAATATTGCAAAAATTCTTTTATAGAATCTTTTATGTGCATATTTGAATGTGTGTATGTGCATTTGTGTGAGTGCAGGGTGCAGTGTGTGGAGATGAGAGGAAAACTTTGGATGTTGGTCCTCACCTCCATCTTGTTTGAGACAGGCTCCTGTTCACTGCTGCACATGCTAAGCTAGCCAGCCTTCTAGCTTCTGAAACTCATGACCCTCCTGCCTCAGTCAATACAAATTTTCAATTATGATGTCAGCATCTCCCCCAAAATTGTGTATTCAGCTATTTTCAATGTGTAAGTTTTTCTTTATTCAAATCTTGTCAAAACTGTGCACTATCAATCTTGTAAATCATCATCAAAATCACAGCATATAATCTTTATGTACAGAAACTTACCAATCTTTCTCTTTACAGTTAAATGACATGTCTGTGAAGGCCACTCTCTACCAAGACATTTTAATTTATTTTTTGTAAGTTCTTTTTAAAAATATTTTATTTGGGGCTAGAGAGATGGCTCAGTGGTTAAGAACACTGGTTGTTCTTGCAGAAGACCTGGGTTCGAATCCCAGCACCCACGTGGCAGCTAACAACTGTCAGTAACTCCAGTCCCAGGGGATCCGACACCCTTTTCTGACCTCTGAGGGCACCGCACAACACAGGTGCACTTACCTACATGCAGGCAATACACACGTACACATAAAACAAAAATAATAAAAATTTTTAAAAATCTAAATCGCTGAGCCATCTCTCCAGTCCCTTAGTATTTTTTAAAAAACATTTTAACCATTACTCGTTTAGAACTTATTTTAGTAGACTAAAGGAGTTCTAGTTTCGGGGATATAGCTCAGGTGGTAGAGTGTGCCCTAGCATGCATGAAGCCCTGCAACCTCTAGTATTGCATAACCTAGGTGTGATAGTGCAGTAGGTAGAGGTAGAAGATCAGAAATTCAGGTCATTCTCAGCTACATATCGAGTTGAAGGTCTACCTGGGATGCATGAAAGCCTGGCCGGGGGTGGGGGTGGGGGTATATGAATAAAAATAGATGTTTTTAAAGCACCCACTTTAGGGGCTAAAGAGATGGTTCAGTGGTTAAGAGCACCAACTGTTCTTGCAAAAGACCTGGATATAGCCGGGCGTGGTGGCGCACGCCTTTAATCCCAGCACTCGGGAGGTGGAGGCAGGCGGATATCTGTGAGTTCAAGGCCAGCCTGGTCTACATAGTGAGTTCCAGGACAGCTGGGACTACAGGGAGACCCTGTCTCAAAAAAAGACAAAAATAATAATAATACAGCAACATTAAAAAAAAAAAAAAAAAAAAAAAAGACCTGGATATAAATCCTAGCACTAACATGACAGCTGAAATAACTCCAGTTCCAGGGGACCCCAACACCTTCTTCTGACCTCCTCGGGCATTATAGGACATGGCTGCACTTACATACATGCAACACTCATACACATTAAAAAAAAATAATTAAAAAAAATCCACTTTAGAAGACTGGCAATAAAGCAAAACAATTTCAGATATGCAATTTTCCTATATAAAATGGAAGTATCTATGAACTCTACTGAAGTGACCTTAACAATGTAATCTTCAAAATTTCATGCTGAAGATTAATGAAAGTTTGTATGGTAGTAATTCACATGCAAATATTTTTTATAAAGATGAAATTAAATTTGGAATATATTTTTAAATTAAGAAAGATTACTTTTGCAATTCTACTACCAATTCTATTTGTCCAAGTGGGCAAAAGTAGACTTAACATCTTTGTAAGTCTTTAGATTTTGTTGCAACATTTTAGTTCATAGCACAAGTTCATTACCTCAATCTCAATGTCCACCATATGAATAAACAAATAATAAATAATAAAAGCTCCTTCTAATTAAATACTATGGTCAAAGACTGAAGTAGATAGAATAATATGTAGAAGACTAGTTAAGAATGCTGAAAGCAAGCTGGGCATGGTGGCACATGCCTGTAGTCCCAGCACTTGGGAGGCAGAGGCAGGCGGATCTCTGTGAGTTCAAGGCCAGCCTGGTCTACATAGTGAGTTCTAGGACAGCTGGGGCTACAGGGAGACCCTGTCTCAAAAAGACCCCCCCCCCCAAAAAAAAAGAATGCTGAAAGCAGATTATTCACACCATGGACTGTACAGTGAATGTTAACACACTTTGTACCTTGTGACTTGAATATGGTTTTGCTCATTTAACTAAGGGATCACAATCAAGCTATTCATATCCTGTTGAACTACACAGTCTGGCTCAACCACATAATTTAAAAAAAACCACAAGCACACAAAGACCACATCACTGAATTATAATAAGTGTTTATAAGACGAGTACAAGAAGTATGTGCATTTAATCATTATGAATATGTTTTAAAGACTTACTTAAAAATTGTTTGCTCTTTAACAAATCATTGTCCCCACTTATGAGTCCTAAAAAATGTAAAATATTTACTAGTCTCACATGTAACAATTCTGTAAACGAGCTGTCTATGGGCTTCCACAAAATAAAACTCATTTCCCCTTAAAGAATTGAATTTAATGTTTATACTTTATTTCAGAGTATCTCCATAAAGAAAAGGGGGGTATAAACTGAAGGATGAAACATGTCTCCTTTCAAAACAAGTTTTAGTAAACAAATTAACATGCTGCTTAACATAGAAACAAAGCATTCACACAGTTACTTCATACCTCTTATCAGCAAGATCTGTTTTATTTCCATACCTCTTATCAGCAAGATCTGTTTTATTTCCTACTAACATGATGATAACATCACTTCCTCTTTCTGTTCTGACATCATCGATCCATTTTGTAGTTTGCTGGAATGAGTTTACATCTGGTATAGAGAATGGACAGAGGGATTAGTGTTACTGAAAATGCGTCTGCTAGCTAAAGAAACCAATCCCCACAAATACCCGAAGTTGGAAAGTTGGAAGGGAGGCAGCACATTAAGAACCCACTTTTAATGTGCCTACAACATAACTCCATTTTATCTGTTTATCTGTCAGTGATCTGAGCAAATGTGAAGAATAAAATCCTCAAAGTTCATTTGGGAGGAAAGCTTTCTGACAACAACCAAACCAGTACAATGCACTATATAATTAAAAAAATACCAAACTCTTTGAAATATAAGGACAGCTACAGCAGATAATATGGTGTTACATTGCCACAATGCTTTTTTTGATCACTTATACTCATACCAAACATGACAAAGAAAGCATTTTCAAAAGTATGTCAGCCAGGAAGTCCCAAGACATTCAGAAAATTTGTAAAGCCTTTAAATAGCTTTCAACACCTCTGTGCTTGTGTTACTTACTCAGTTTGTGATCACTTTAACCTTATTTTTTCCAATCCTTTCTTCTTTCATAAAACCTTCAGTTTATAGTTTGATGTACCAGAATCACTTTAGCTAAATTCAACCTTTTTAGTATTGGATTCTATGTAGAGTATGTCAACTTTTTTCCCCAGTAGCTAAAAAAAGCAATTTACTAATATTTTAACCACATATGTAGAATTTTAAAAGAAAAATATTATCAGCTTCTCTTGCTTTGGTTAAAGTAAGCACAAACATTTTAAAGCTACAAAATTGGTCAATCCATTATAATGAGTATTGTTTTAAACAAGTAGCAACCCAAAGTAAAGCTGCAAAAGAACACTGCATACAGCACATATCCCAAAAAGGTAAAAATGAAAAAGAAATCTCTGAATGCGATCTTCTAATTTTGTCAATGCAATTTTTTTTTAGTAACTATGACCTCTGACTGAGCAAACACACAAAAATTTCTAACATTATGACTAGTTCAAATCAATAGCCTATATATGATATTTTAAAAGAAGTCTAAGATGCTGTATATATAACCTTGGTTCTCTTATAAATTACAGATCAGTCTATGGAACAATATTAAACACTGCGTTTAATTTACAAAGATTAATTTTAATCAGAGAGTAGACATGAATGCTCCATAGAAAATTTACAGTACTTAAAAGCCAAAGGTACTCAGGTTTTAGGGAAAATAAAAAGACTACTGTTTCATTTCCCATTTAAAATCTTTTCTCGGAGAGAAATGAAAATGGGATTTGTTAGCAACAAAGTAAATCAGTCACAGAATCCATATATTCCAACAAAAATGATTAACAGAAAAGCACACATAATGTTTCTCTGTATTTTCCTCTACTGAGAGAGAATAACTTGAAGGGAAAGCAGAGACAAAACTACCTGGCAGCTTTTCAAAGCCTCAACAGAAGCCATGTAGAATTTGGAAAACCTGGCAAGAGACTTCAGTACATATTATTTAGAGGAATCTGAGGTCAAACTAATGAATAATATTCCTTCAACTGTAATTATTGGATAGTTTAGGGATAACAGGACACTAAGAACGACTTGGAAAGGATTCATTGGACCCAAAAGACAATTTTTAGATGTGAACACCCTGGCAAACTAGACATAAAACATATGGGTACAAACATGGAGGCAAGTATTTCTGACTTGGCTAGGCTGTGATATGGTTTGCTATGATAAAACTTATTTTTACATGCCAATAAGGGAAACAAGCACAAGACAAGAACATGCATGCAGCTAAGCTAAAGGTTGACAGAAGATTAGAAATGCATAATTCCCCCCACTCACTTGTGATATCATAAACAACAACTGCCACAGTGGAGTCACGAATGTAGCTAGGAATCAAGCTCCTGAACCGCTCTTGACCTGCTGTGTCCCATAATTGCAATCGTACCTAACAACAAAATCAGTCAAACAAGCAAGAAAAGTAAGAAAGGTCAACCCATTGCAATATACCTACTTGTGATATCGTAAACTACTACGGCTGCAGCAGAATCTCGGATGTAACTGGGAATGAGGCTACGGAAACGTTCCTGACCCGCAGTATCCCACAGCCCGTTGTGGAGAGTGGAGCATGTCATTCTTACTGTAAAGCACACAGCCTCATGTTGAGCATGGTGCTAGCTGTAGGCATGCCATCTATTTTCTTTACGTGTTGAAGAATTTTAAAGGATATTTCCAAAGGAGTTGATCCGAGGTGTTGCTTCTGTCAAAGGAAGAAAGGTGTCTTTCATTGACAATTATCATTATTAACATCTTTCATACTGTAACAAATGAAAAGTTCAACTGACACCGGGCATGGTGGTACATGCATTTAATCGTAGCACTTGGGAGGCAGAGTGGATCTCTATGAGTTCAAGGCCAGCCTGGTCTACATAGTGAGTTCCAGGACACCTGAGGCTATGTGGGATGGGAAAAAAAAAAAAAAAAAAAAAAAAAAACCAAAACAAAACCAAAAATCCCCCAAAAACTAATACTTAAAGAAAAAAAAAGGAAAGGGGGAAGATGTATGGTAGACAACTCATGTAAGAGGTTTAATGTAGAAGTAAGCAATGAAAATGACACAAAACTCCACTTTGAAAAGGGAGTAAGTAGGTATTACAAATTTGCTTGTTCTGAAAGTACATGACTGAATGCTACTGGGAAGATTTCCCTTTTTTCCTTCCCTGTAACTTTGAATCCCCCTATCTTCTAGATTATAAAAAGACTGAGCATAAAAGAGAACGAAGGTAACGACAGCAAACACCTCAGCTATTAGATAACAGGGTAAAGAGTCCAATCCTTTGAAAGTTTCTCAGAAGCTAAAATGTCTTTCCTGGGTCCGTGACTACTATGCTTATGTTTCTCCTATACATTTCTGGCTAGAACATTGTGGATACTGCACAAAAAAGAAAAAATAAATACCTGCAATCCTATATAAATGTTTCTTCCCCCAATAACCGTATTATCTAAAGATAAGCCTGAAAATAAACATCAAGTTTTCTTACCTATAAAAAAGTTTCCAAGCTTTCAAGTTTTAAGAATTGTTATGTTATATATGAAAACATCCAAAAGAAAAAAAAAAATCACACACTTCAGAAATAAGACAAAGCATTAGACAATGTATTATTTTGTAGTACAGGTCCTGCAATAGTGCATTTAATTTATTCACAGGCTAGGTGATAGGAATTACTTCAAGGAGGAAGAGGTTAGAATACAAAATTTATGCAAAAGGAACATTCAATAGTATAGAAGATAAAAATTCAACAGAAAAATACACATTTTTCTCTATTCAATCACTTTGTTACACATTCTGCTCTGACAAAGAAAGTCTAAGTTCACAAACTGTGATGTTTAAGTGAAATCTTTCTGAATGTTCTAAGAGTGGCATTTGAAAGATCTTTAGCAGCTCTAAATCATTCATAAAAATTCTCTTAATTCTCTTTTAATAAAAAATTATTTGTTGTCGGGGGCTGGAGAGATGGCTCAGCAGTAAAGAGCACTGGCTGCTCTTGCAGAGAACCCAGATTTGGTTTCCACCACCTACATGGCAGCTAACAATTCCAGTTCCAGGGTATCTGGTACCTTCGTCTGATCTCCATGGGCTTTTCATGACATAGGTGCACTTACATATATGTAAGGCAAAACACTTGTACACACAAAATAAGAACAACAACAAAAAAATTGTTGCTGGGCATAGTGGCACACGCCTTGAATCCCAGCAGAGATTCAAGGAGGCAGAGGCAGGTGATCTCTGTGAGTTCAAGGCCGGCCTGGTCTACATAGCAAGTTCCAGGCTAAGTGGGGCAATAGGGAGACCCTGTCTCAAAAAGACCCTCCCCCCCCGCAAATTGTTGTCCTTTTTCCAAATCAAGATGGTAGATTTTCTTTAACAAGCCTACTGACACCTGAACTTTGCAGCACAAACAAAATCTTTCTTTCCTTCAAATCTTACATAGAAATAAATCAGGAGTGCTAAAAACAACTCACTTTGTAATAAATTAACATTGGTGATTTTGCTAAGAGGTACTTCTGATGGTGACAACTACTGATCGTAACTTGACCACAGTTTTCTAACCTGGAGTGTTGCAGAAAATTGTACACTGAAAACATTACTCACTGTTCGATCCTCTAAGTACATTGTCTTTGATAAGAAGTCAATGCCGATTGTTGCCTGTAAAATAAAACAAAACAAAAGTAAGTAATAGTGACTGTGGCCAGCAGTTTAGGATGCAAACAGGATTTATGAATAAGAAGGAAATAATGAACACATAACGACATTAACAGCTAAGTAAAAATGTACATTTTCCATGTTAATAAGCACTTGCTCTATGTTACAACCTGTAGTAAGATCAACTCTCATCTTCGAATTCCTGAAAGGTTACTTACTCTCATTCTTATTTTTCTCGTTTTACAGATAACAAGATAGTAAGAATTTTAGTTTGCATATTTGTACTGAAAGAAATCTTTTCTTGTTTTAAAGATACAGACTCTCTATGTAGCCCTGACCTACAACTCATTATGCAGACAAGGCTGGCCTTAAACTCTTGAGATCAGCCTGCCTCTGCCTCTCAAGCAACCATGCCTAGCTGAAATATTAAAATTACTTGAAATTGAATCTTAGTCTGAATATCTTAATGTTCCCCAATCAAAATGGTAGTATTTTTCCCAACAGCAATTTTATAAAATACTGTTGATGCAAACTTATTCTGCCTAAACTTGCTACATGATGGCTTATCCTGGTATTATAACAGCCACAAGCATGATTCTTCCAATACAAAAGAAGTACAATTTGGTCAAGAAAACAAACATTTCTTTCTATCATTCAATGATAATCAGGTTCCTCCTGTGATCCAAACATGTACGTAAAATACTGTTGGGCTGGATGCTGCTTTTTCACAGGCAGTTCTTACATTTTAAGCCAATTTTCCTAAGTAGGTTGGGTGCTTATCTATCAACCACATTTCTTTGACAGAGGAGTAATCTTGACTCTAGGACTGTATTTATTTCCTTAAAACTAAAAATCACTGCTCATACTTCATTAGCAACTGTAGCAACAAAAATGGAAATCTACTCTACCTGTCAAATTCTATATAACTTCACCCTATCAACAGTATCACCGCTCCTACAGATGTCTGACCTCACAGAAACAAGTCTCAGCATGAAAAAACAAAAAACAAAAAACAACCAGCAGTGGCACCTTCAAGTATTTCTAAAAAAAAATCTCTAATTTCTCCAAGACCTTGAACATAACAAAGTACTTTAAAAATTTTTTATTATTTTTATTTTATGTGTATTCGTGTATTGTCTGCATGTAGGTAAGTGCACCTGTGTCGGGCAATGCCCTCGGAGGGCAGAAGAGGCTGTTGGATCCCCTGCTACTGGAATTATGGACAGTTGTTAGCTGCCATGTGGGTGCTGGGATTCGAACCCAGGTCTTCTGCAAGAACAACCAGTATTCTTAACTGCTGAGCCATCTCTCCAGTCCCAACAAAGTACTTTAAATACACCTAGAGAACGCTATAAAAAAAACAATCTTTAGTTTCTAATTCTTTAGTCTAAGATGCCCTAAATCATTTTTTTTAATACTGTGATCTTTGGTTCTACTCTCAAAGGTTCAAACATATATATCCTCAGGAACTCTCCACAATAACCTCAATACTCATTTTCAGTCTCCAAGACTGGTACTTGTGACTCTTCTGGCTTCAAAGAAACACAGCATTGCATACTGAAAATACTATGCATTAGATCATTGGTGATGCCTGTATTGTAGAGTTGCACAAAATTAGAACATTGGGAATACCCTTAAAGTGGTTCAAAAAAACTAAAACTCCCTTGGTGACCAAACAATTTTTCTCTTCTTAACGTCCTCTTTTTAACAGTGTCTTAAGATGCGGTTAATCTGTTCCTGAAATCTTAGAGAATAAAGAAACACAGCTAGGTGTCACAGTACACACCTATAATCATATCACCCAAGATGCTAAGGCAGGGAGATTGAAAGCTGCAGGCTGTTCTGGGCTACAGAGAAAATCCTGCTTCAAAATATAATTATACACACAGTACATATCCATCAATCATTTGTTTAATTAAAAAGTGACTTTTGCAAGATATGGTGGCCCACATCTCTAGTCCCAGAACAAGTTTGAGGCAAGCCAGAGCTATCTAGCATGTAGCACGGCAAGACCCTACCTCAAAAAACAAAAACAGAAGGCTGAAGAGATGGCTCAGTGGTTAAGAGCACTGTCTGCTCTTGCAAAGGACCCAGATTCAGTTCCTAGCACCCACATGGCGTATAACAAGTGTCCATAACTCCAGTTCCAGAGGATCCAGCACCCTCCTCTGACCTCCTCAGGCACTGCATATGTGTGCACATACATACACACAGGTAATACATTCATACACTAAAAAAACAACAGCAACAAAACCCTCATGTTTAAGAAGTAATCTTATTTCCTTTTATTTTTTTTCTGTTTATGTCTTTTTGAGACAGGGTCTCCCTGTAGCCCCAGCTGTCCTGGAACTCACTATGTAGACCGGGCTGGCCTTGAACTCACAGAGATCCGCCTGCCTCTGCCTCCCGAGCGC